CTTTGTCATGGTGACATTTGCCATCCAGATTTTTGCCCTATGGCCCATGTTACAGAAGAAACTGAAGGCATGTACTCCCCACAGCTACGTGGGAGTCACACTGCTTTTTGCATTTTCAGCCTTGGGAGGCCTGCTGTCCATTAGTGCTGTGGGAGCCATACTCTTTGCCCTTCTGCTGGTCTCCATCTCATGTCTCTGCCCTTTCTACCTCATTCGCCTGCAGCTTTTTAAAGAAAACATTCATGGGCCTTGGGATGAGGCTGAAATCAAAGAAGACTTGTCGAGGTTCCTCAGCTGAGTTAGGGACCTCCATTCCGTTACTGAGACCAGCCTTCCAACTAGTAGGAGATTTGAAGGCAGAGTTCCATTCTGGAAGTGGCATAGTGATGTGGATGGGAGATCAGAGATCAAAAGAAAAAAATTACCCATAGGCTTGGGCAGTGAAGGTGCTTCTCCTTTCTGTTTCGATGAAAAAGCTCCCTGGGGCCCTCTTGGATTATTGTCTCTCATTATAATTCTCTGTAACAAATGAAATGATGTGGTTTCTATTTATTAAAAAAGTAACAACACGTCCATCAAATTGTCTTATGATTTTTCCTTGAGCAGAAGGCAGATAGAAGGGACATGAAGAGAGAATAAGAGAATGTGTGTGCATATAAAGTCACTTTTAACGTTTTTCAGTGAACTAAATGCAGGCTCTGTTATTTATCTACAGCTCAAATCCTAGAACCCTGGATGCTGTGTCCAGTTTTGTGGCCTGAGATCACAGAATTGGTCACTTAACCTTGACTCACAGTTTCCACTTAGTTCTTAATGAAGCATGGATGCAACTAGCTACAAGGGGCGTATGATGTGTCATAATACACAAGCAAAATGTTGGGGAACTTCAAAGAGGCTGGAGGTCAAATTAGCTGGAGTAATGAGGAAATACTTATTAGAGGAGATGGCACTTGAGCTTAGTCTTAGAGGTCAGGTGGGATCCAGGCAAGCAAAAGATGGTTTTGGGGCCAAGGTGGCAGAGACCTTTAGGAGCCAGGTCAACAATACGAGTAGCTGAAGCTGGCATGCTTTGTGGGACTAATGGCAGCTAGAACTATGGGGAGAGCATGCCCAGTCCAAAGAGGGTAACCATTACTCTGCATGCCTTGACTGACCAGAATTGGCTTGTAATTATTATTTAGTCCACATCAGAAATGGGGCCAGGGCTTAGTGGTTGAATATAGTAAAGAGTTGTATAAAATAGCTTTTGCTTTTTAATGTTTTAATACACTTTCCTTATTTGAATGGATTTCCAATGATCAACTTTAGGGAACTCACATAGCAACTGCATCCACGTTGGTGAGCAGAGAGTTGCCCACGTTTGAATCCCTTTCAAAAAATACTTCCTCAGTGGGATGAATGAATGTGCCTGTGCTGTCATGTTCAGCTCTTCCACACAACAGTATTTGGAATTACCCGAGGCCTGATCCTCTGCAGTCTGATGGTTGTAGAAGTTCCCCGTGGAGGTGGCAGGGGATGGGGTGTTACGGGCTGGATGTGAGGGTGCAGGGTGGGGCAGCAGATTCAGTTCAAAGAGAAAAGAGGTGACTGTGGGGAGAAGAATATTCCAACCGGAGTGAACAGTGTGCATGTCCAGGTGCACAGGGCCTGACTCATCCTGGCAGGAGAGGGGAGTGCAGAATGGACGGGCTGCAGTGAGAGGCTGAGGTCTGAGCGTGGTGAATACCTTGAATTCCTGGATCCTGGAGTCAATGGCAAATTAAGGAGCTTTTGAAAAGGGATATAGGGCTCCCACCAAACAAACACACTTTTGTGTGTGTGTGTGTTTATAAAATTCTGGTAGCAGGATTCAGGCTGAACTACAGAGGCTGAGCATGGGAAGCTCTTGTGGTAAGAGTGAAAAATGAGGGTCTAGACTAAGGGTGGTGACTGCGCCAAGGAGGTGTCGATTCTGATTAGAGAGATTTTCAGAACTTGGTAAATTCATGTTGGACAATGGGAGGGAAAG